CTTTGAGTTAAGCTGTCTGGAGGGAAGGAAGAATATGGACTATCCCAAGTGATTAAAGCCCACAAGCAATAAAAGCAGCAGTCCCCTTCTCACACAGGCCCTCTGAACTGCACTGCTCCCCATGGGCAATGAACTCTTGTCTCAAGGTGGAGACTGCCACAGCCCTCAGCCCACAGGGCAGGATCCTCTCCCTGGTACATCTCTCCCTGGTACATCTCTCCCTGGTACAGCTACAAAGACTATCAAGTAAGGCCAGGTCCAGCAGTCCTTACCCCAGCTGTGATTAAATTACTTTCAAGATCAAGTACTTCCAATTTTAAATTCTATCCTAAAAGCACAAGCTAATGTGAGTCTGTAACATACATCTCCATGAGCACTAACTTGAAGCTTGTACTTCCAGCATCTGCTGAGCTGAGCTATGTGCTCAGGATGGCAGCCCCTAACACAATGCTCTTGGTTTGTACCAGAGCAAACAAAGGCTCCAGCTCCTAGTCACTGCAAACCTGACACTGCAGCAGTTGGGAGTGCTATGCAGGCAGTCAGTGTTAAGTAATTAACACTGAATCACTGGAGTTACTCCACTTTCACACTGGTAGAACTTCCTCTGGGTGGAATCATGCTATCCACGTGGGGCCACGTCATGTGTATTACCTGTTGTGATACACTACAGCTGTGTATGCTTCTTTGGAAAATTCAGGACAGCTAGATTTGCCAAAGATGACCTGCAAAAAAGAAAAAAAGCACAGAAATCTCCCTATAAAATTGCACCAACATCTTTTTCCATAATCCTGCAGAGACATTTACAGCTGCACTCACAAGTCTGTGTAGCTACCTCTCTGCTTGTTACATGCCCCTCACTTCTCTGCAAGGTTTTACTGAGTCACTGAAGAGTTCACAGTTTCAATAATCCCCGTTACACATGCACAGAGAAACGGCTGAAGAGCTGGTGAGTGTAACCACCCTTACACAGACCTTCCCCAAGTGCTGACCACTTCTGGCCCTGAACACAAGTGTAACTATAGCCTTCAATGTTTTGGCATGGAAGCAAACATCTGTTCCAAACACAAGGGTGTGTCCACTGCAAACATCCCAGGTAGATACCAGCTACCACATCGTTACTTTGCAAACTCTATGTAATCTTTGTTCTGAAATAGTGTAATTTTATGTTCCCCTGAACTTGTTATTTTGAAATGTATTTCAGTTTATTTTTAACACAGTGACTTTACTGCTACAAGAAGCAGAGAGGGCCTTCCTCACCGGCATAGCATTGCTTGGGTCCTCTCCATACATGAACTGGACTTTCACAGTGATATTCCTGGCAGACCCTTGCCGGTTGGCGAAGTTAAGGCTCTGAGGATAGACATAAAGAAGATTCCTGCAACAGACAAAGGCATCAATTGAGCATCTCCATGAGAGAGCAAGAAGGTTCACACCCTTATTAACTAGAACAATTAGTTAAACCTCCAGGGAAACAGGCAGAGTAAAAATGAAGGGTTTGACATTTTCCATTGGCCAGATGGTCTTCTCCTCAACATACGTGCACACCCAGACAAACAATTTGATAATGACTCCTTATTTTAGACACCAAAAGTCACCATTTTTTCAGATGCCATCACACTCGGAAATTCTTCCTATTTATAAGGGTGCTTGAAAAATACATCGAAAAATGCACCATTACTCACTTGAAACACTGTAAAACCAAAGCCACTCAAATACTTTGAAGTGGACTGTATTTTTTTTGTTGTTTGTTTTTTTTTTTAATTTTGCAACCAGTTCTTCAAGTTTTGCAGCCCAAAATCCCAGTGTCCAATGCCAGTGGCTGGACTTTGCTCCCTACTATAGAGCAGTGTTGTGCTCATATAAAAAACTTACCTGAACTTCATCTACAAGTTTCTCTACAGAAAAGACAAATCCTTCAAAATCACATGCTTACCTTATATTTTAAACACTGGAAGTATTTAAATAGGATTATCAGATGTTACGTATCTTGCTCTACCATTGAAAAGAAAAACCTTTCAGAAGTGAAGTGTTCAGAACCCTAAGAATTTCCTACAAAGGTACCACACAAAAGCAGTCCACATCATGGACTACACATGCTATGGGTTTTTATTTTACTCATTTGAGCAGACCTTTCCTAATTTCCTCTGTACTATCAGTGGAAAATGCTGCAGGAATGATGACTCAATGCAAATCCTTCAGGCAGATCACTGCCCCCTGAGTAACTGTTCTAACACTTCTTCCAACAGATTTTTTAGTAGGGTTGAGTAAATAGTGATTTGCTGAGTTTCTTTAGAAACTGATCTGAAGCAAATACAGAATTTAACAGGGCATGACAGCCCTCCTCAGATGTTCTCAGACTAGAACATCGTGGACAACCCGTGTGAAAGCACTTAACCTGGTGAAAGCCAGATCTCTAGAATAAAGCCCTGTGCCTTGCAAATCAGAGAATTAATCATTATAAACACTCATTATCACAACAGAATTATGAATAAGAGTATTATTATCATTGGAGCCCAACTTGCTAGATTTTTACATGTGGTGTTAAAATACAGTGTTGATAAAAAGGCAGAAGCAGAAAGATTAAACAGTGTTTCATTTTAGCAAAGGTGCCTGCTCAGGTCTGTATCTCTGTGTAGACAGAGCTTTCCAACAGCATCACTGCAGTATTTTTCCTTTGCCTGCCTAGTGCAATATTGCTGTGCAGCACCTGACTCAAGGACAGAGTGGACACCCCACTGGCCAAAGCCAAAGTAATGCTTGTCCAGTGAATAAGCAGCACCAGCCATAATAAAACTGAATTTTGACTTCCAGCACACAGTAACACATGTAAGTCAGTGTATAACTGTCAACCTGTGAGAAGCTCCAGTGCAGTCACTGATGGCCTGGAGCTGTGGGCTGCTGTATCTCTAAGCATCAGAGAAGAAACAAACACACAGTCCTACCAACATCTCATTTCTCTGTACAAAACAACTTTGCTCCCCCTGCTCATCTAGAGATCTGAGAGCAGCATGACCCTGTGACAGAGCAGTAAGTCTGAGCACTTTGCTCACCTCTTGGCTGCTTGTTGCCACCCTGAATGAGTGTCAGACCAGCCAGTCTCCACTGGGTTACTTCAGAAATGAAGGAGCCATCATGTTGTTATCAATGCACCTATTACTCAGCACAAAAGAATTGATCAGCAAGTGACTGGACGTACAGGAGCAATAATGAACAGCCCAAAACCAATTTCCTCACTTGCCTATATCCCCCCAGGCTCAAATGAGTAATTAAGTAAATAACTCTTCTCCACCATGTGTTACATCTGCCAACAGTGAGCAGAGGCAGCCCAGTCTCAGCTGGCCAGACTCAGCTAACTGTCACTTCAAAAGGGCCATCAACAGACAGCCAGACAGGCATGTAGCTGGCAAAGAGCCATTCTTCCTGCATCTTAACACACCTGACCTGATTTAACACAAGCTGCAAAGAACTTAGCAGAACAAGGTGAGTACTGTGGTATCTGCATGGGCTTGCACTTATCTCAGGCATCTTCATAGCTCTTCACTCCATGCTGGAAAGCAGTAGAGCTCTCCTTGCTCCCCTATTCCCTGATTCTTTACACAGTGCAGCCAGAGCTTAGACCTCAAGCAAATATCTTCAAAATGCTCAGTGTTCTGGGATTTTTAAAATAATAATTACTTTGCTGTTTTGCTCAAGTGTTTCAAAATTATTCTTCCTGGTGCATAACAGTGACTCTTGTTTGTATTTAAGGACAATTCCTACAATTCTCTTTGAATGAATTCCCAGTCTTCCCAATGCCAGGCCTGATTATTCTGCTGTTTTTCTCTACTTCATGCAGATACTTCAGTAAGCCTCATACAAATCTTACTAGTACAAAATATTCTCCACGAATAACTGGAGATCTAAAGTACTTTCATGTTCTTTAACTACAAGCGTGTATTATATTTTACTACCTGCATATTATCAACTCTTCATCACACAGGAAGTTCAATGTTCAATAACTTTAAAATAATTTTTCTATTGATGCTTCATAAAATATGTGCAGATATTCACGAACAACAAGAAGTCCAGGGGAAGAATTAAACATACATGAACTTAGGAAAAACCTGAAAACTCTTCAAAATACAGACTCCATTATGCATGGATTGATTTAAATTTCTTGGATTGCTAGGAGTGATTTCAGAAAGAAAAATACTGCAATACTACTTGAAAAACACACATACTTCCATGCAGAGACCCACTGCAGAACAGGACATTTATTTCAGAGTACTTGTAGACTTGCTTTATGTAGTGTGAATCTTAAGCAGTAAGAGGAATGGTAAGGTGAGATATGTAAGCAAGGTATTATATATCTCACCCAGCTCTGGAAAACAGCTCTTAAAAAATAAGTTTTATACGGTGTAAATTACTGCACAAACCTTAACATAGTAGAATCACATCCAGGCAATCCCTGGAACTAATTCCCTCTTTCTCACTTAATCTGAACTAGATGACAAGTAAATCCACTGCAGCACAATGTGTTACCTCAGAAATGGTACAAAATGAGAAGAAAGTTGTGTGAATCATCTGGGAATATTCCTCCCTTCCATAATTTATCAAGGAGCTGCACAACCTGAAATACAGCACCCAGTGCTCTTAAGTATGGTACACCCTTCCATACTCCTGAGGCAATAAAAAGAATTGTACAACACAAACAAGAGGCAATTTAGACCCCCATCAAGATTATGACCCAAAATTAATCCATTAAAAAGCATTGTGTGAAAACCCATATGTCATCAATAACATTTTATAACAGAAGGTCTGGCAGGTAGAAAAGTTCAGAGCCAGTTTCATCAGCTACGTGCCCGTCTCTCAGTTTTATCTTCCCAGGTATCAACCTACATTTGAGAGGGGTTACATTTGTTCAAATACTCACAGCTTAATGATCAACTCGTTGGTCTGCCTCTTCTAAAATGAAGAGGAGTATAAATAGATCAAATTCTTCAACCCAGAACACTCACACAGCAAAAACTGTTGGTAGGAAAAGCCTCTGCATCCTGAACAACCTAAGAATATCAGGAGCAGAAAACATGAAGATCATTCTAGTCTTTCTATTCATTGCCCCACTTGCTCTTTCAGCTGGAGCTGAGGAGTATTCCTCCTCGGATTCTGCAGCAGCTCCTGAGACAAAATCAAGATTTGCCATGTTAGATGATGTACGAATCTTAGCCAATGGACTCCTCCAGCTTGGGCATGGTCTTAAAGACTTTGTCCACAAGACAAAGGGGCAGATGAATGACATCTTTCAAAAACTTTACATTTTTGATAGGTCCTTTTATGAGCTCTCACTGCAAACTAGTGAAATCAAAGAAGAAGAGGAACAGCTCAGACAAACCACGGCCAGACTGCAAATCAACAACGAAGAGATGAAGAATCTCTCACAGGAGATGAATTCGAAGATTGAAGACCTCATCCAAAACAAAATCCAGCTGCAAGAGCAAGTATGGGGACTGGAAGACAAAGTCACAAAGCTGGCTATTATCCAGCCTTCAATGCAAGAGACAGAGGAGATTTCTTCACTCAAAGTAAGTAGACTTGTGAAAGCCTCTGACACATGAAGCCAAAGTAAACTGCAGTGCTATTACTGGTAGTTATACAACTGATACTCATGCTTTCCATTCCTTTTCACCCTAGTACTATGGTGTATTTTGAGAAATAAATCACTGCAATAATCTTAAAAGAATCAGTGTCTTAATCTGACATATTAGTTATTTTGCAGTCACGTTTCCCAGTGAAATCAGGAAGAAAATGGTGAAATTATAAGTCTCTGTACCTTTCTCAGTATTTTTTTGAAAATCTGTTTAAAGAAATTTTGTAATAATATTGATAGAAGATTTTTGCAATTAGGAAACTGATGTGATTGCCAAGCGCATAAGTTTGTAAATCATCAGCTCATTACAAATCAATGCACTAGGAACTGTCTGCTCAGTATAAAACCAGGAAAGTTAAACCTCTAAAGAGGGATATTTATAGCACCTGTATGACCTCCAGGACCAAAGAACCTTGCAAGTGTTAACAGACTTAATGTCACACATGCAAGTATTTAGGTGGGTATAAGTCTTCCCATGGAAAAGGCAGTATTAACAGTATTTTGCAGGAGCATAAAAAGGGTAACCAACTCATGTGAGAAAATACTGGATATTAGTTTCAAAGCAGAAAGATTAATCCAGCTCTCCTAAATCCCTAAATACTGGGAATCATTCCCTTTTTTGACTGGTGACATACACTGAGTTTGAATTAAGGGCCAACTTCACGAAATGGAATTGTTCTGGACATAAAAATGGAAGGAAAGTAACAACAAAAGGTTGTGAAAGTCTTCTGCTGATACTAACCACAACTCTCCTCCCTTCCAGGCTTTCGTGGAGCAGCAGGACAATGACATCAAGCAACTTCTCAAAATCGTAGAGGACCAGCATGTAGAACTTGACAAACAGCACAATCAAATCATGGAGCTCGAGGACAAGGTACAGGAACCATCTCTATTTCTCTTTTCAGAATGTGTCATCTCTCACAACACTGAAGGAGTCAGTGGCCCAACCATTCACTTGGGTCAGCCATCCCTCTTGTTCACAGTTTGGGAGTATTAGAGGAAGGTATAAACAATCTGGACCACAAACAGGTTCTTTTTTGGGTGAGAGACTGCTGTGCTGCCAGGCACAGGGCTATAGCCAGGACACACCATGACCAAGAACACAGCTTTGGATTATGGTCTGTGAACACCAGACTGCTGCTGTGTTTTCTGACTACTCATTTTCTGTGTTGTTTTTTTTTTTTTTCCCTCCTCTTATTATCTATCATATTATTGGTCTTCCATTGGTCTTCTAAGTATCATTATTTTCTACCTTCTTTCTTCTTTTCCAATATTCACCTCAACAGGGAGCCATGTTCTGCAGTTCAACATGTGTCACTGTAACACTGGGCATAACTGACATGCTCATATTTAATTTATTCCTAAGAGGCAGCTATAAAAGGAAAACACATTTCAGCCTAAGGAACCGTGGGTTCTGTGCTCTTTAGATGTTGGTATTATTTGTCTAAGTGATGTCACCTGAGGAAATATGTTAAATCTGTTTGTCCATTAAGATGCAGCTCCTGAGAATGGGTCGTTTACTTGCCTCATGAATCCTCCTTTGTTTGAGCTGTGGCACAGCTGACAATTCATGCAGCTGAAATCTACCAGTGTGGTCCTTAAGTTATTTTTATGTTGCAAATTGGGTATTCTAAAGGATTACATTCAGAGAAAAATTATACTCTGCATGACATTGCTCAGCTGGAGACATGAATCTCATCATCTGCAGAGTCCTGGGAAATTAACAGTTGGTAATTACGGTTCTTTCAGCTCAACCACATAGAGCTCCAGGAACTTGCTGATAATTCCTTCATGGAGGAGCAAAAGGAGCCAGAGACCACCCCCTTCCTTGTGCACAATGTCACCGCTGTGAGACGCGGATCTGACGGTGAGACTTTACCTCTGAGACCACACCATGACCAGAACACAGCTTTGGATTATGGTCTGTGAACACCAGCTGCTGCTGTGTTTTCTGACTACTCATTTTCTGTGTTGTTTTTTTTTTTTTTCCCCTCCTCTTATTATCTATCATATTATTGGTCTTCCATTGGTCTTCTAAGTATCATTATTTTCTACCTTCTTTCTTCTTTTCCAATATTCACCTCAACAGGGAGCCATGTTCTGCAGTTCAACATGTGTCACTGTAACACTGGGCATAACTGACATGCTCATATTTAATTTATTCCTAAGAGGCAGCTATAAAAGGAAAACACATTTCAGCCTAAGGAACCGTGGGTTCTGTGCTCTTTAGATGTTGGTATTATTTGTCTAAGTGATGTCACCTGAGGAAATATGTTAAATCTGTTTGTCCATTAAGATGCAGCTCCTGAGAATGGGTCGTTTACTTGCCTCATGAATCCTCCTTTGTTTGAGCTGTGGCACAGCTGACAATTCATGCAGCTGAAATCTACCAGTGTGGTCCTTAAGTTATTTTTATGTTGCAAATTGGGTATTCTAAAGGATTACATTCAGAGAAAAATTATACTCTGCATGACATTGCTCAGCTGGAGACATGAATCTCATCATCTGCAGAGTCCTGGGAAATTAACAGTTGGTAATTACGGTTCTTTCAGCTCAACCACATAGAGCTCCAGGAACTTGCTGATAATTCCTTCATGGAGGAGCAAAAGGAGCCAGAGACCACCCCCTTCCTTGTGCACAATGTCACCGCTGTGAGACGCGGATCTGACGGTGAGACTTTACCTCTGAGACCAGACTGCACCCTACACTGCACTTGCTGAGTTCTCTGTGAGCTGCACGTCCTGCTTTGGACAATGTCATCAACTGCTTAGGTCCACCACATGGGTGCTTGTCTCTGGGGTGACATACAGTTACAACATCCAATAATGCAGCAATCCTGTCCTCAGCCTTCACCCTCCATTCACCCCTTGTAAATTCATGCTGTGACCCTCCTTGTACTGATACTTGTGGTTTATGTCTTGGAGAATATGAACAGAGAACTAATTTACTTCACCCTGGCTAATGATAAGATTTGGAAAAGCTTTCTCTAAAGTTGAAAGACATTCTCAAACTGTGGCAATGAGAATGGTATTTATTTGCAACTTTACAAGGGATAGGAAAGTCCACTTGCCAGAGTCTAGTCTTAGGCCTTAAAACCTTCCAAAAGTATTTAAATTTAAATCTTGTGTAACTTAAAAAACTAGGCAGCTCTACTACCAAGCCTAAAGAAGTTTGTCCATTTAACCATACTTATTGTAAAATAACATTACCAAAAAGATTGTTCTGGTTCTTGTTTTGGCTCTATCCCATACAGAAGTCCACGTTGCAAAGATGGATTAAAACTCACCACATCTAAACCAAGGCTTGTAACTGCTTCCTGTTTGTTTTCTCAGGTGCTGCTCCTGACTGCACTGCTCTGTATAGCAGTGGCAAACACTCCAGTGGTGTTTACACCATTAAGCCCAACGGCTCAGAAGCTTTTGATGTCTACTGTGAAATGAAATTTGGTAAGACAGCTGTGCTAGCAACAGCCTTATTTTCACAGAATTAATTTCTTGTAAGCCACAAGTAGGTTTTCCAAATAAAAGCAAGCAGCAAGTACGACACAATTTTTTGAAGTTACGTTCATTAACAGTGGTTATTGCTTGAGACTTAAGACACACCAAACTAACCGAGAAAGGTGAGTCCTGGAGACAGGACTCCTGTAGCATGTTTGGGTGAGTCAGCAGTCATAGGTCCTGCATCATATGGGTCCAGAATTGTCACAGACCAGAAAGCACAGAACCTGCCCAAGCTCTACCTTCTTAAGAAACCTGTTTATCTGTTCCTTTTGCTACTATGCAGAGATCAGACATGGTTTGGCCAGTTCACCCTCCCCTGTTTTTTTTCAAGGCAGTGCTGCTCTGTGCATGTCCTGCCCAGCTGCCCCACAGGGTCCCCTGGCCAGGGTTACCCCGAGAGCCGGGCACACACTGATGCAAGGATGGCTGGGCCATGCCATTTGTTTGGATGTGTAAACAGAACAGCACGGGATTGCCCTGTGCAAAAAGCTCCTTTACTTACATTTGCTGAAACCGGTAGAACAAGGGTGTCATGACCTGGTCAGGAGAAAGACCCCACTGCAGCCCTCATGCAGACATGGCTTCCAACTCTTCCTACCTTCTGAGGAGCTGCATTCAAGTACTAACAGTAGAGGGAGTCTGATAATCTGATCAAATGTCTGTGACATTTCCTGTCTTTTCTTTTTTTCATCATTTTCTATGTGTTTCTCAGCACTCTTAAATAAATGTAACCCATCTAAGGCAGCTTAACAAAGCAAGTCCAATGAGCTGAGTCACCCCACGTGTGGCAGAGGACACTTGAACAGCTCTGTTCTGCTCAGCTGGGCTGCCTCAAATCCCTTACATAAAGATTTAGGCTACAATCAAACCTGGAGCACCCAAGAGCACACTCATGGACAGTGAGAATCATAGAATCATCAAGGTTGGAAAAGACCTTCAAGATCATCAAGTCCAACCCTCCACCCTACAACCTCTAACCACTAAACCATCTGAGAGTTGAGCACCTACCCTCTGCTCAGCCGTACAGCTCAGTACATGTGCACTTGTGTTTACAGCAAAATTAAGAGTAAGTGGGACTCCTATGGAGCCACCTTCAATGCAAACCCATGTTCTTTTCACGCTAGTAGAGAGTAATCTTGTGTAAGGGCAGCCACAGCAGAGTAGCCTGAAGGTCGGGAGCTGATGGTCTCAGTTACTTTCCATCTTCTCTCTAGTGCTTTCAATGCTTAATCCAGACTTGTCACTTATTTCCCCTTCACATTCACAGGCACTTCCTGGACTGTTATTCAGAAGAGAGTGGATGGATCACTGGATTTCAACCAAAGCTGGGATGCCTACACAAATGGTTTTGGTGACCTAAATGGTAAAAATGCCTTTTTTGTGTGTATTTTCTCTGTATCGGTTGATTTGAGAAGCTGAATCTTCCTACAGAAAGTTGTTCACATGAGAACAGACAAAACCTGCAATTGAATGTGAACAGCTTACCTAGTTAGTAGAGCACCAGAAACTGCTTACCTAAATCTACCAGAGGTTAGGTTAGATTTAGGTTCGACATCAAGATGAAATTCTTCACCATGAGGGTAGGAAGGTGCTGGAATGGGTTGCCCAGGGAGGCTGTGTTTGCCACCCTCCCTGGAGGTGTTCAAGGCCAGGTTGGATGAGGCTTGTGCAGCCTGGTCTGGTGGAAGGTGTCCCTGCTCATAGCAGGGAGTTTGGAACCTGATAGTCTTTAAGGTCCCTTCCAACCTTAACCATTCGATGTTTCTATGAAAATGTAACTCAGTAAAATTCTCAGACACACCTTCAAATGTGTGTTTAAAAACTTTTGCTGAACCAAGGTCAGAATGGTTTAAATGCTATTTTAATTATCGAGATTTTACTATTCCTAAAAGCACCTCCCAAAGCCTTTAAAATACACACAAATGCAAAACCTCACCATGTCGCTGTTCCTACTTTCTCTCAAACTTTCTGCAATCCTCTTTCTCATAAAACCACCATTCTGATTTTTCTAACCTTCCCTGCACAAACCCCCCTGGCTTCCTTGTGCGGTGGCCAATTCCCGTCCATGGCTGGATAGGGTGAGGAAACACCCACATTCCCCTGTTAATCATCAACTCCAAAGAATTTGTAACACCAAGTGCCAGCCAACAGCTTCCTCATCCAGAATATTTTCCCTGGTTTTCCTGTTCCAACAAGAGTTTATTTTTGTTTAGAAAATACTTTTACTTTCTAGGCACAGCACAGAGCAAAACTGCAGCAACGTGGGCAGCAATACTGACTTACTGCCACCTCTTTTACAATAAGGACCTGCTGTACCTCAACCTTTCCCACATTTTGGGACAGTAGCTCACAACTTAGGTAGACTTTTACCTGGATAGTTTGTCTGACCCTACTGAATGCTATAATTGCTCCTTGATTGGTCTCCAATTCCCACATGCTACACCAACATAAACCTTTCAGTGTCAGGAAGACTCTGCCAAGGATCACAGAATCATTAAGGTTGGAAAAGACGTCTAAGGTCATCAAGTCCAACCAACAATCCAACACTCACATCACTCTATGTCCCACTCAGTTCTGTGCTGCATATTCTAAGGTGATGAAACACAACAGAAGCCACTGATGCTCTCCTGTAAATTGAGTATTTTACTCAACCATCTTGTCTTGTAATTGTTTTAAGTGCCACCTGCATGCATGGCACACCCACTCAGCTGCACTATTGTTACATGTGGGAATTACTTACCATGCACTGATACCAGTAGCATTGGTAATAAGCTACTCAATTAATATAATTTATGAAACTAATTAAACTAATTATCCAGAATTCCAGCAAAAGGAAAATGCTCAAGTTAAATTCACTTTGTACACAAGGGTATTGAAACCTCAGTTTTGTTCTGCAGCTCTTTCCTTCAAAAATACAACAACTGCAATCAGGTTTTTATGTATGTCATTTGCTTCATCTGTCAGATAGTTCCAATTATGCATGTTTTAAATGTCTTGAGCTCCCTGTTTTAAATGTCTTGAGCTCCCTCCCTCTCAGAGTTTCACAAGAGGTGAGAAAGTTGAGAGAGAAGCTCCAGTTCATTTATACTTCTTGCTTTTATTGATCACTGGTGTGCAATTAAGAAGAGGCAAACAAAAAGAATGTAGCAGGAGACCTCTGAAAAGATCATCAGTCCCCAAGACTCGTATTATTGATTTAATTAAAGCAATTATTAAATCCTTTTAAATACTGTATTTTCACACATACTACCTGCAGGTTATCCGTAAAACCAAATTCAATGGCAGCACAAGGGAGATGAGGGGAAGGTTATCACAGAACCCTCTCCCCACTAACTGTCTGTCCAGTGACTTCTGTCCCCTAATCCTCACCTCTGACATCTCTCGATTGTGCCATCCTGTGGCAGGTTTGAACACATCCTTTCAACTACTGCTATTCTGAAGGTGCATGAGCTACCTGAGGTATGGGTTAGAGATCTGAAAAACATGGGAAGTGTCTTTATGCCTAGTTCCATATTAACAGCATCCATTTACTGCAACTTTGCAGACGAATTCTGGCTGGGCCTGAACAAGACCTACTCCATTACCAAGCAAGGGGACTACATCTTAAGGATTGAGCTTCAAGACTGGAAGGACAACAGGCGGCACATCGATTATGCCTTCAGCCTGGGGGGCCCTGAAACAGGCTACACCCTCCAGCTGGCACGGGTGTCTGGGAGCATCCCCAACGCCCTGCCCGAGCGGACGGACCTGCGCTTCTCAACGGCAGACCACGACCTGGACATAGCAAATGACTTCAACTGCCCAGAAAACTACCTAGGTATCAGTATGTTGGGGGTCATGGTATGGCAAAGGAGTCAAAGTTGAGCACAGGACGTTCCACCTCAGCATGAGGAAGAACTTCTTTGCTGTGAGGGTTACAGATTGCTGGAACACGCTCAACAGAGAGGTTGTGGAGTCTCCTTCTCTGGAGACTTTCAAGACCCATGTGGGTGTTTTTCTGAGTGATCTGCCCTAGTTGGTATTGTGTGTGCTTCTGGGGTTTTTTTTGTCCTGCTCTGGCAGGAGGGTTGGACTCAATGATCTTCAGAGGTTTTTTTCAACCCCTAATATTCTGTGATTCTATGACTCTGTAAGATGGGAGTTTCCCCATTACATGGAGGATGGCAGGATGCTTTAATGGATAGTTACACGTGTTAGGCTGGCTTCAGATGCAGGAAAGAGAGGGCAGCTGCATCTTTCCACTTGCAGGGAAGAGCAGAAGATGTTTTTTGTTGGCAGGTAGCACGACCCACAATGAGGTATCACCTTTCTAGTTTATAGATAGGTAAAACTAAAAGCATAGTGAGGCTGTGCAAACAACCAACATAGAAACTAGCAGCACAGGTTGAAATAAATCCTCAAGATGAGACTGAGCTATTAAGTGAAGGGCAGTTCTTTCTCTGATGCCTGTTCTGGTGTGGTAGCCCTAGGTCAGATTGTTTAATCCATCCTTGAAAAAAAAAAACCACAACACCAAACAACAGAAGGCAAACTGACTCTTAACTTCATTTTAACTACTAACCAAAAGTTAAGAATGATGGTGAGTTCCCATTCAAAGGCAGATTTTAGCTGTTTGTCAAGTATAAATGCTATATTCCCTCTCAAAAGATCAAGAGAAATGCAAGGTTGAAAATATTTCTCCCTAAAAATAATCTGCATAAAAGATTCCTAATTCTTTGATTCTCTGATGCTTTTATGCTTTGCTAGATAATCACAAAAACCAAACAATCGAAAATGCAATTAATGATTAAACCACAGGATGCAGAACTGCCCTCCAGACACCTGCTTCAAGCAACATTTTATACGTCATTCTAGGTTAGAAAACTGTCAATGCCTGAAACAATGCCCAGAGTGTGTGTTACTCAGCTCTAGTGAACATAAGGGAGATGGCCAACAACTTCCAATGTGCTCAGCTTTCATTTGCAGCAGGGAGTCACTGCCGGTCCTTTGCAAGCAGAAATGGCCTTCAAATTAAGCTTGTGGTTAAGGACACCAGTCAATAAATCAGATAACTTGTTTGCTAAAAGCTCTTCAGCTTTCTGTACATGGAGAGATTTAACCATTTGTACCTGAGAAAAGTATCAGCAGATCAGAAAGTCAGTTGTAGATGGGAAACCTGGAAGTGTGGAGCTAAATTTGTAAGTGTCCCCATTCATTTGGCTATACTGGGTAACTGTCACTTCTGCTGGAACTGGTCTAAAGAAGATTTATGTTGCAAAGAAGAGCTGTCTACTGAGAAGCTAAGCACAACATGTCAGAGTACACCTGACAGTAACTGACGGTACAATATTTTTCCCTAGGAGGCTGGTGGCACAGTGAATGTGAGGAAACCAATCTGAACGGGAAATATGTGGCACCAAGGTCAAGAGGAAGGCTGGAGACAAGAAAAGGCGTGTACTGGAAGCCCAAGAAAGGAAGATACTACTTGCTCAAGTCAACCAAAATAATGATACACCCAACAGACTTAAAAAGTTATGAGTGAATGCTCAGCCTGGTGCATTTTAATTCAGAACATACAGACTGAACATTACTACATATAACATGAACATCAAAGAAGTTCATGTTATATTTATTAACAGATGCATGTCTAAATCCATACACTGTATGGTACATTCTCCAATACATAAACCTGGGGCATTTGTGATCGTCTTACAGTATGTTTGGTGAGTATTTTCATTCCCTCTAGCCCCAATGTCAATGTGCTGTAATTTTCATGGAGCTTTTACCTCCCAAGGATGAAACACTAAGGCTAGGGACTGCTTATTTGTATATTAGATCATATTGCTTGGGGGAATGGGTTTTCAGGCTGTTGCATTCCTTTCTGGGTTGTGTGGTAGGGAATGCAAAAAGTGTTGCAGCAAATGAAGGGCTGGCAAGATGCTACAGAAGACATTCAGGTATTAATCTGTAGGGGAAAAAAAAAAGAAATTTTGTTTTGTAAAGTAACTAATTTGATGTTTGGTTCAGTTCACTGTTGTGGAATGTTGCTATGAGCAAATGAAAGATGGGCAATTCCCCATCTGAGGTCGTTGTGTATTTCGAGAGATTTTCAGCAGTGTGCCTGGCCCAGTCTCTGCTGGACCTCTGCACTCACACAGCCACAGGTGTGTACACACACAGCAACTCAGCCAGAGCACAGGCCTCATCTTTTAGATACCACACTTAAAAGAACAACTTAAGAACAACAATTTCTTACTGAAAGTTAAGAGCAAAGCTTCAAAGCTTACTGACATAAGTAAGAGATCTTTTCTCCTCATTTGAAATGGAATCTGAGCCATCCCTTGGTGACCTTTCAGTAAAGAAATTAAAGACCAAGCAAGCACACAACAAAGCACCTTTCAAATAGAGAAGAGGTGCCCCTGGGGCAATTCCAACTGAGTCAATGGTACCAACCAACAAACCCTGTAGGCACAACCTAAGTGCCAGTGTCAGCCCTGCTCCTGAAAACACATTCCCATTTATTCAGCTTCAGCTGCAGAATTCTCTAAGGCAGAAGGACTACTGACACCCCTGTGGATGGCTGGCTGTGAAGTGCTGACTGACAAAGACCTCAATTCTGCAGCTACATTGAGTCACATTGACTCCTCTGCCTTACCTAACCCTTGTACAGAGTGGATTTTTTTTTATCTCAACATTTGCAACTATTTGTCAGAGTGAAACAACTGTGAACAGAATGTGCTAATTACTGAAAATACTGTGAAAAATACTTTTACATGTCATGGATTTATTACAAAGAAGGAATCACAAGTGATGCTTATTTGTACTGGTGTCTTGTAATGTCTAATTACCTGTCCAACCTCTAAAAATAGATAAATAAATGCAATTTTTGGAAATACATGAGATATGGAACTTGACTCAACTCTTTCTTCTAAGTTTTGGTTTGTAAAAACCTAGTTTCTATTTATCTAGCTTATCTACAACAAGAAGTAACAGCTTTGGGGAGTAAGTTGGTGAAGTTACTCAGCTGAAGAAGACAATTCCACTCAGATGTGACACGTCTTCAAAGATAATGTGAAAAAACTTTGAATGAACAGTGGTACATAAAAGAAATCATTCCCTGCCTGGGCCTAGTTATAGAAAGGTTACTGCTTTTTAAGATACTTTAGAAAAAATTCTTATCCTCCAGATTTTCAGAAGATTTTTTTTTCTCTAGCATTGTAAACAAAGAAATTGCTTTGAAATCAAAATGGAAATATGAACAAAGGGATTAGGCACTGAAAGTGTCAGAAAGTAATAAAAAACAGACACAAAAAAAAAACCCTTCATAAAACTGAAAATAATTCAACTAGATTTCACTGTGAATGTTGGGAACTGGAGAAACCTCTCTCACGGTCTTGTTCACAGCCAAGTTTCATGCAAATATGTTTGACCCTTCACAACTGTGTATCTTCTGCAGTGTCAGTCTGGTCCCTTTTTGTGCCTCTGGCACAGCAGATCTACTGATACAGCAAGTTTTGCAACAAGCCAGATGATAAGGTAGGAATTTCTGGACTTGCCAGGCTCAGACCCTGAAATGTATTTCAAAACTCTAACCTGTATGTGGTATTTGGAACATAGACATCCCTGGCAGGAAACTCCAGGATTTCTCTTGTAGGTCTGACTCTGCTGTCTGGGTAAAGTTTGACTTGCAGCAACTCTGGAGTTAGACAGTAATGGGGATTCTCTGGAGCTGGAGATATGTCTATCTTCAATTGAGCTGTAAGAAGAAAATGGTTTTATAACAATGAATAGAAGGTAATTTAAATAAAAAAGATTATTCATGCTTTGTTTCTTTATGTTAATATCCTATATATTTATTTCATAAATAAATAAGTTACAAATTACAGCCAATGTGGATTTGTTAAAAAAAAATAAATCAGTGAATCAAACCAGGGCAACCAGATAATAAGAATCAACAGAAAAGATTAACTTAACCAGTCCCAAATGCTGTTCTCATGGGCAAGTTGGGGAAATACAGCCTAGATAACTCTGCTGTGAGGTCCAACTATTGCTAATAACAATACTCAAAACTCTCATCAGGAATCTTGCCTATCAAACTGGAAGGACACGTCAGGAGCTGCTGAGAGCTAATCTGCACCAAGACTCTTGAATACTTTCCTTAGCAAGGCAGCTGACAGAACTGACAGCACACTTATGGTGGGTGGATGGCACTGAGGCTGGCATGATTGTAAAAACTTGGACAGGGGAGTTGGAGAAATGGCATCAGGATGAAGCTTAAGAAAGCGAAGGACTTGCATTAAGGAGAAGCCAAGCATACAAACATTAGAAAATGCAATTGATATGGATCAATTCTGCAGAAAAGGGCTCGGTGACAGCAGTGATGATAAGCTAACGTCCAGACAAAAGCAACAACCATTCTAAGATCTATTAGTGCTGTGTCCTGTGAAAGACACTGGAGACAAATTCACCTGCTTTCATAGAATGGTTTGGGTTGGGAGAGACCTCAAAGATCCTCTAGATTTAACCCTCTTGCATGGGCAGGGACATCTCCCACCAGACCAGGTTGCTCCAAGCCCCATCCAACCTGCCCTTCAACACTGCCAGGGATGGGGCAGCCACAGCTTCTCTGGGCAACCTGGGCCAGTGTCTCACCACCCTCACAATAAAGAATTTCCTCCTAATGTTTAACCTAAATCTCCCCTCTTCCAGCTTAAACCCTGCAAACCCTTGTCCAAAGCCCATCCCCAGCTTTCCAGTTGCCCCTTCAGGCAATGGAAGGTGCTATGAGGTCTCCTGGGATTGGTCAGGCCACAAAACAGAGGTGAGTAAGAGTGAATTAATAACAGTATTCAAGTACTTGAAAGGTGGTGATAACTGCCCTGAGGGCATGACAGACCAGAATCAGATTAATTTGCAGCAAGATAATTTTGCAAAGTTTTCTTAATACCTAACCTCACTGCAAGGACAGCTGAGTGCAGGGAGAGATGATCTTAGGAAGCTGTAGGAATGCTGCCATTGGAGATGTTCAAGAACAGGTTAAGTAAATATTGTCAGAAATAGCACAGGTCAGGGACCAGTGATGTTTCACTGCTGGTTTGCCAACGATTTTACTTCCCTTCCTCAAACAGAGGTGGAGTCTGTTCCTATTAACCAAGTGGGAGCCAGGAGAGAGATCTCTCCTCAGCTTGAGGTTGGTATTTTACCCAGGAAAACAGAGGCTACTCGGCCCCTGCTGGGGTCAGGACTTTGGGGTTTGAACCCTCTTCTCTCGAATCCTACTCTCAGTATCAGGAGCTGTGTATGCACATGTGCCTGTGAAAAACCTGTCAAAAAACCATCCCCAGTACTCATGATCTACCAGGGATCTACCAGGGGTTTTTTCTTCTGGTCACTTATAAGAACTGGGTGGCTTCTGGGAAGAACTAACCAATTACCTTACCACCTATGTCAGCCAAAAAGCTCTAGAGCAATACCTGTGATGGGCCTCAACCTCCGCAGCACCGACGAGGGTCGCCTCATGTCAGCAACAAACTTGTACAAGTCTTCATCGCTCAGACGATCACCCTCCTGTTGGGTGGTGGGGAGAAAATGGTTATCTACACAACCTTCAGGAGTTAGAGAATGAAGAAACCATCTAGACTTCACAGCCTCTTTCCTCTGATGTCAAAATGTACCTTCTCAGAACAAGGTGTTAACATTAACATGCTAAATTACAGTTCATTTCTCCATCCTTTTTCCTTCCTTTTCTCCTTATTAATCATCATGACAGCTATAGGAACTTCTCATTGAAAACCTTTTCTCTCCCCATCAATATTATCTTTTTCCAAACTGAGAATGGCTGCTAAAAGATCTCACCCAAAATATCCAATTTTTAGCAAGTCTAATAGTTTGAAAAAGCATCCGTCATTCAGGTAGTGAACCTCCTTCCTTCTCCTCTGCCTTCTCTTTGGTGTGAGTCTAAAAGAATCTTAATTTTCAGGAGAAGTGTTAAGAAACAGTGGAAAGTGTCACATTCTGGTAGCTCAGAATTTCATTCATTTTGGAAACATTACAGAAAATGTGACTCTGCCACTCTCTAACCATCCAAAACCAGATGATACCTGATAATAAAGTTAATAAACCACAATAAGAAAAAAAAAAGAAAATGGAAGGGGAAAAAACTCTGGGTAGTATCAATTAATTGTACTCAATGGGAGAAAAGAAAGGGAAAATAAAGAAACAGAAGAACTACAAAGTCTTAAATCAATAAATTAATAAAACAAGCTGCTTCAAAGTTGTGAAGTGAAAACAACCTTGACAAAGTAAATAAATACATGCTTTTGTAAATCATTACTAACTTAATGAGTATTGCAGAGGGCTGCAGAACATGGCCAGTGGAATGGCTGCATTGGCAGTGCTGTAACACACTTTTTTTCTTACTTTCTCCATCGTGGGTGAATATGTTAAAGAATTGGATTTTCTGTTAACACTCCAAACAAAAGGAACTTCCTGTGCTGCTCTGTGTCACCAAGACCCCAGAGATATCATTCCCAGAGCCCAGTT